TTTTATCTCTGCCTATCTCAGAAGAAGTTCTCCTCCACTGACCAACAGCTCACTCAGCTGTTATTTCACACGGTCATCATCCTATTACTTAACCCCCTGCTCGGCCATGTGTCCCAGGTTGGCCGTCTGGCCATGGCCACAGGGTATGAGTGTTAGACTCCCTCCTCCTCTTCGTCTCTAGCGTCAAAGCTATCACAGGCTCAGCTCCAAATCATCCTCACCTGTTTTGTTTTTTGGTTTGTTTTTTTTTCTTTAGTTTTTTTCTTGAGTCTTTTCTAAAAACCCTATCACTCAAGATTTCAATCACCGTCTCTTAGAGAATGAAATAAACATTTCTACCCGAAGGCCCCAACCCGTTCCCAAACTCCACACTCACATTTTGGTTAGCTGGACCATGTCTTTGAAAATATTTAAAATATGACTGATTTTCCAGATGGCCAGGTTTCCAAAGGCCCTGGGGACAATTCATATTCAAGCCAGTGAGCAGTTATCGGAAAGCTTGTTAAGAAGGCCCCGCCCACAGTTGGTTCCCTAACGGAAAGGAAATTACACAGCCTGCCTCGAGATCCAAAGCTGTGCTGTGTCGGTAACAAATAAGACTGCAGGGTACATGGCCCTCACTTTGGGGAACATTTTAAGTAATAACTGGCAGAGACCTCATTTATCAGCCTTGTCGCATAGTTTTCACATCTTTTGGTGTAGGGGGATGTGTGAGGGATAAAATGGATGTGCGCGGTGTTGTTCTATGTGAGGGAAACCTTGTTCTACCTCCTCTCCTTTCTGCTGTTCCAGGGGACACCATCATACGGCGACATACTGTGGAGATGGCTGAATTTTACCGGGATCTCTTGGCCAAGTCCCTGTTCGGGCGTTTGTTTAGCTTCTTGGTGAATACCATGAACTGCTGCCTCCACAGTCAAGATGAGCACAGCAGGTAGGATTGGTGGACGCTGGTCTGCAGAGTTATTCCTGTAGTAGCCAACTTAAAGGGCTCCCCTCCTGCAGGTGCTTTGTAATCCAATGGGACATGTAAGTTACACTATCGTGTAAACATCTTATTTTAACAAGTGATTTTACCTAAGGGGTTTTATTGACTCTTTCTTAGAGATTTAACACCCCCTCCAACTCCCCACCCCCACACATTGATGAATTAATTAAATCGTATCTCATGCATGGAGATGCACGTACATCCTCTCTGGGCCGAAGATATATGTGGCCTTCTGAGCACCAAGAAATGTAAATAAAAATTATAAATCTGGGAAGAAGACTGTTTAAGAATACCTAAGGCACTTAACGTTTGTTGAGGAGTCCGTGTCTCTCTTAGGACCAACTCTTCACATATTTGTAGATTATTTGACGAAAGGTCTCTACGGTAATCATTTTGACGCATAGCCTTAATCACCTTTAAAGCAGTAGCTTTACAGGATTATTTGACAATCTAAAAATTACAGACCTCCATGGCATCTTGTCAATGGAAAACTTTGTTAATATTCTTGTCACTAATAATGACCTTGGGCAGGCCACTGAAAGCAGAAATGCATCCAGAGGTCTTCGCACGTATGCTTGTCTTTGAATGAAATCTTTTGAGGATTTCTTTGTTGTCCATATAGAGTTCTTCACTAAATTCCTAAAAATTGCTACATTTGGAGGTTTCTTGGAAAACACTAGAAGTAACATATATTGATGGGACAGGATTAAAGAAATGTTGACATCTCAGAAGACTTCAAGGACAAAGGGATACTGAAGACCTCATTAAAATGTGCACATATAAATTTTACAGCACGTCCATCAGCACACAGTACAGTCTGGGATTTGGGATCTAGGTGTAATATTATCGATATTTTAGCAGCTGTACCTTAGAGTTTGGTATGGTGAGGATTCTTGGGTTTATAGTTGTTTATTGTCAATTTATAGTTTTCCTTAAAATATGAAGATAAGGGCGCCTGGGTGGCTCAGTTGGTTAAGCGACTGCCTTCGGCTCAGGTCATGATCCTGGAGTCCCGGGATCGAGTCCCGCATCGGGCTCCCTGCTCGGCAGGGAGTCTGCTTCTCCCTCTGACCCTCCCCCCTCTCATGTGCTCTCTCTCTCATTCTCTCTGTCAAATAAATAAATAAAATCTTTAAAAAAAAATAAATAAAATATGAAGATAATTCACAGAATGATACTAATATGCTAAGTCTTGCAAATTAATCTTGTGTGAAATTATTGGCTGTGCAACTGAAATTGACGTTGAAAAAAATTAATGTTATAAATCCAGCTGTACATAGAAACTTTTAGAACATTTCCATTTGACATTTATTTTTTAAAAAAGATTTATTTATTTATTTTAGAGACACAGAGAGAGAGCGCACGCGCACATGAGCAGGGGTGGAGGGAGGGGGAGGGGGGAGAGAGACTCTTAAGCAGACTCCACACTTAGCACAGAGCCCAAAGCAGGGCTCGATCTCAGGACCCTGAGGTCACGACCTGAGCTGAAATCAAGAGTCGGATGTTCAACTGACTGAGCCACCCAGGCACCCCTCCATTTGGCATTTAAATCTTACAGAGCCTTAAATTTATATAATTGGAAAAACTTATACGTAGCCTCGATATTTGACTACACACACACACACACACAGAAAAATATACAAATATAAACCTTGGAAAGCATATTGTTTCCCTTTCAGTGGTAACATTGCCACTGGGTCAGTATGTAAATTTATGGTGTTAGTGCTGTTTATTAAAATTCTTTACCAAGCAAATGAATGAGGACAGGGATTAGCAGGAAATTAGTAATGATTTAATGTATTAGAAGTTTAACTTAGAAGACATAGTATCCTCAGATGAGTCGTAATTCCCATGTTTTTCTCCCATTTCTCCCCGGGGTCACCCAAACCTAAATTTAAATCCCAAATACTGCAAAAAAAGGTTATGTTTGCAGTATTTCTAACTCATTGAAATTCATGGAAAACTGAAGGATTTGTAGATTTACAGACCCATTTCCTAAGTCTCAGAGAGGTCTCAAAATTTGGATAAACTTAGGCTTTGATTGTTTATGAATCCTCCATTTTTTTGAAATGTGTAATCATGTCAAAACCATTATGTAAGAAATGTGTATCCCCATGGTTCAAGTTGGCGAGCACTCTTGATGTTGATGGGGAGTATTTTTCACACTACATTTGTTTTTTGTGGGTTTTTTTTTTTTTTTTTTTGGTAAATTTTGCAAGAGAGAATAACTATAAATAAGATGTACTCTAACAAGTTATTAAAAGAAAACAAGTGAAATTGAATCAGATGAAATGTTTGTTCTTGGAAAGCTGAACTCATTTCCTGGATTACAGCAAAATAGGTACAATATTAATAATATTATACACTTTAAAAGATGTTACTTTCTCTACCTAGATTCTAAATAGGGTCACTTCTAAGTTAAAAGCCTGAGGTATAATGTGGGAGATGGTGATGATTAGTTAATTATGATGAACCAAAGAATCTGCAGTATTTGCTTGGCCAGAATCAAGCCAGTAAGATTGCAGTGTGGATGTCTCCCAGCCTGTGGCAGGCTGTGGTTTTAATGTCCATACAGGCTGGGGACCGACCAGGCTGGGGAAGCTCTCATTCAGGGGACACGCTTTGTAGTCAGGGCACTCCAGAAATTGAAACACACTCAAACTTTATTTATTAGGCTCAGTTGACAATAATTTGGTCCAAGTAGGCAAAAAAGGAATAATGATAAAAATAGCAACAAAACCAATATATACAATGTGTTATATCATATGCATTATATATAATGTGTATTTTATCATATGTCAAAATCGTCTATATAATATATACATAAATTGTATCATACATATATAATTATAAATTATATCATATAACCATCTTATTGTTGTAATAGTTTATTTAATATATAACTATTATAAATGATTATGTATATGATATGATAATTTGTATTATATATGTACATAATATGTATATGTATATATTATATATTATATGTAAGAATGTATATATGATATAATGATATAATGCATTCATTTGTTTAAAACTTCAGTGTTCACAAAGTGCATACATATAAACTACCTTCAGAAGAAATTCTGTTAAACAGCCAAGAACAACACACGTTATTGCGGGAGCAATGGCAGCTCTAGGAAGTTGTGAGGCGTGGATGTCCTGCTCCTTTTTTCCCCCTCCCGATGCACCTCCCTCTGAGAATTCCTACACAAATCAGAGTTGTGGTGTGTTAACTGCTTTCTGGGACATTTCTTTCTCTAAACTATCACTTTGGCCTCTGAAGTGAGGGGTACACAAGGTTAAAACGGTGTTCCATGATGCTGGCATACCCCTCCTCCCTGCCCGGTCGTGACAGCCTCGGTGGCTGTCCCGGCGCGTCTGCCCAGCATCGGCTCACGGGCTTGCTGCCGCCTCCCGTCCTCACACATCCAGGTGCTTTCATGGTGTTTGGGGGACATTATCTGTCGGCGCTCATCTTCACGTTTGATTCGTAATCGGTTGAGAAATAAGACAGTGGAGTAAGGCGTTAGGAGCCAAGACACCGGTTCTGTGGATTGGGGGAGACAGCAGACCCGGGACGTGCCCCCGAGTGCGGGCAAGCTGCTTCTGACCTCCGCTGTCACGCAGGCTGGCTTTCGTGTGGGCCCTGTCAGCACTGGGGGGGGTAGCCGCCCCGGGCAGGAGGGCTCCAAGCCTCCCACCAGGGCTGCCTCCTGCTCGCCTGTGGAGGAAGCCCTCCTGCAGAGGCCAGGAGAGTTATAGCCCCTGGAGCTTCTCTCATGGAAGGAAACCCCAGGACCAGGGCAAGTATCTCCACTTAACAAGATGTGAGTGTTTTATTTAAGAGTTGATTGGCTTGAGGGGCACCTGGGTGGCTCAGTCATTAAGCATCTGCCTTCAGCTCAGGTCATGATCCCAGGGTCCTGGGATCGAGCCCCGCATCGGGCTCCTGCTTGGGCTCTCCCTCTGCCGCTCCCCTTGCTTATGCTCTCTCCTCTCTCTCTGTTGAATAAATAAATAAAATCTTAAAAAAAGAAAAAAAAAGAGTTGATTGGCTTGAAAGACCCAAGGCCCATCTGATGCAAGAAAGCACGTAGGCTCAGGGACTCCTGTGCTGAATGGGTTGCGTCCTTTTTTCCTGGTATTTTCCAAAGGATACAGCTGAACCCATCTGTCTTACAGTGTGACAGTCCTCCCCTTCTGTAGTCCCCAAGATGTGGCCACTAGATACGCAGGAGACCCTTGTAGTCTAATAGTACTTGGCCTCAACTCCCCCGTAGATTGATAGCTGACACCCCATGACCAGTGTAGGCATAAAGAAATTCCATGTTTGAACCACACAGAGATCCATATGTAGATTCTTATAACCTCATATGTAGAAAATTGGCAACCGCCAAGAGCACGGGAAACACTGGCCTTTGAGTCCACCCTTCACTGGCCAATTTTCTTCCCAGTGAATCCAAAGCTGTGTGGTGAGCTCCCTTCCCGGGGATACAGCCCTTCTTCTCCCCAAGGGAAAGTCTTCCCTCGGATGCTTCATTAATTACAGTCAGACCAACGTCCTTCTGCTTGTTCTTCTCAGGAGGCCTTGAGCTGATTCCCAGGGTCCCCTTTCCCCAGGGAGTTAGCTTCCCTGATCAGGAGACCACAGTCTCCTGCAGCTTCATGGTCCCGCTGCTTCCCGAGTGTGCCCCAGCTCCCGTCTGCCCTGTGGTAGAGTTGTGATGTGCAAACACTTGGGGACTGTCACCTCCTGTGTTTCTGTCTGTGAATCTTCCTATAGCTCTCAGTAGGCTCCTTTCCAGGGTCCACCCTCTGTGCTCCAAAACATCACCTCAAGCACAAACTGTGGGAAATAGACAGGATTCTGCATAAATTTCCTTAATACCTCCCTCTTCCCATGAATTATTTTGCCTTATCATCGTGGAACTCCTTCTCTGTTT